AAATTTTTTTGGTTTAAAAAAAAAACCCCCCCCCCCCCCATAATAGAAGACCACCTGGTCTTCTATTTTGTCCCGCAAGTCGAGTTCTAAAGGGTGGTCTTCTATTGCGGTCAAGTTTTGTCGCCTGCTAGTAGTCCAACGGTAACCTCACGTACTTGAGGTCCGTTCCCTACTCAAAGCACGTTTTGGCGAAATTTTTTTGAAAATTCCGCTATAGGTATAGGGCATTTCGGATTTTTTTCGCGGACATAATAGAAGACCACTGGTCTTCTAGGAGTTATAAGACCATGGTCTTCTATTTGGCTTTCAAGTCATATAATCGCCAGTGGTCTTCTAACAGGGGATGGTCTTCTATTATGGAGGGGGGTTTAGTGGAATAATTGTAGCTGTTTTTGATGCTATAACCTTAAATCGAACCTTTCCAGAATTTTTATAAAAACATAAACCTTATCTAGCAAAAGATGAATTTTCTTGTCCTAAGAGGAGACATTGATTTGTGTGAAAACACATAGTATCGTGATCTGGTTATCTAGTTAAATTTGTAAACATTGTTCTATCTTGTTAAATTAGATAATCAACGAAACAATAGTTCATATACGTATATGACTAATATAGAACACGACTGATCTCATCCAGCATGATGTTCATAACTAGTTCAATGGAAAAAAAAAGAAGAATGTACAGCAAGAATGATGTTCTATTGTCCTTACTGGTTTTGTGTACAATCAATATTCAATCAATACGTAAATACTGCGTCCTTTTTTGTTGTGCAAATTGTTAGAGTATGTAGTTAAGAGACCTTTAACTCTCCTTTGATCTGATACACCCTTAAATACTAAAATATTCCTCAACGTAATTGTAGTTTATTTTGAAAACGCATTTACGGCCCAGTCAAAAAAAATATAAAGAGGAGTATCATGGAGCACTCTTTTTGGAAAAAAAAGAAAGGAGCACACTTTTCCCAAAAAGGGCGCTTCAACTCAAAAGGAGTACTGCAAAAACTACAACGGAGTTCTCACAAAAAATGAGTACTCATGGATGCTGCTTTTTTTGAAGTGGTCCGCAGTACCTCAGCTGCACTTTATAAAAAGGAGTGCTCCGAAGCACTCCAAAAAAGAAGTACTCATGAGTACGCCTAATAAGAGATAATCCTATAAGTCTTATTCGAAGTACTCATGAGTAAAATTGAAATTAAAGTTTCTAAAAAGTATAAATTAAAACTTTTATATTGAAAATTAATTTTTTCTTCAAAACAAAAGTCAGATTCGTGATCAGCATGAAAAGCTGGGTCTAGTGATGTGCACTATCGATTTTTGATGAAAAAAATTCAAAAAAACCTGATTAGCGAAATGTCACGTTACGTGGACAAGCCATAGACTAATGTTAAAAAGAAAAATATGAAACTAATACTAAAAATTAACTAAATATTTTTCCGCCTTATTTAACTATTAGGCCGTTCAAAATATTTTTTTATTTAAATACTTTTCCTTTATTTTAAAATAATTAAATATTTTTCTATCCTATGCCAAATACTTTAATATTTTTCTATCCGGTTTATCTCATTCTGAATGAAGGAAGGATGTCGCAGTTTGAACCTACCAATAAGATACGAGTATGCGGACGGGACAGGTTCTGTTCTAGTATTATGTCGTCATGAAATTAAAGATATTTGCAAGTATAAGTGCTGTAGAAATATGTATTGGTAGTAGTTGCCGAGCAAGCACTGCAGCAGTAAGGTGTAACTCCTGCTGTATCTATGAAATCGAAAAATTTTTTTGCCTTTTTTTGCTATAAACAGTCTTTGCTCGGTGCCTATGTAAGGATATAAAAACAATAAAAATAATAACTTCTAGGTATAGTCAACAATTACAGCTCTGTCCAGAAGGCTAGCCTGACCCAGACTTCTTTCGCTCAATAGCTGGCGCTTCCCATACACACTAACTAACCACGTACTAGCTTTCCAGAAAGCCACTAGGACTAGCCGGAGACTGTATAGAACGTCACCACGTGGTGGAGTATTCTTCTTCTTATTATTATTGAGAGTATGTGTCGTTAATCGGTTTCTCAGGGCATTTCTAGTGTAGGTTCAGGCGTAAACAATAATATTCCACCTAAAACGACTATATCTCCTAGAAGAAAAGTCTTAAAATGTGCTAATATCTCACTTTCTAGCTAAAATATTTCTCTTTAAAACTGAATGGTTTTAAATATTATAATATCAAAACTCACAAATAAGAAAAGTTTTACAGAGCCAGCATAGGACAACTGCCATATTCACCTTAGATGCGGTTTTTAGCGGTTAAAGCGATTTAAAGCGATACAAATCCCATTAATAAAAACGCGCTTGAACAGCCATTTTAGTCGTTTTTTTTGTGACTCTTCTTGTTTGAGCATTATTTCTTTTTTTTCTAAATTCCTGTAGAATAAGAAAAGAAACAGAAAATAACCACGGTGTAAAAGTCTTAGCATAAGTCTTTATGTTTTTTGTACCAAAATTGGTATCAGGATTAAAGCTCAAAAGTACTGCGCCAGAATCAGAATTTCATTCTCTTTCAGAATACGATTTTGAAGTTTCATTATTACCTTTCTGTTGTTCACAATGGTACAGTAGGAAGAGACCCAACAAATTTATGTATGCGGAAAAATTTTTGCGATGACAGAATTGGTCATTCATTGTGATGATAGGAAAATTTGAACTATTTGCGGTTGTAGACCAAATATTTGTCTGCAAAATGATGTATTGAAATACTTTCAGAAATATAAAGATCAGTAACGAGAAGCATTTTTGTAAATGCTACTTTCAACGTTTTACACGTAAAAACATGAAATGAGCAAAATTTCGATTTTTCAAAAAGCACTATTGTTTTGTACTGGAATAAATTCATTGGCTTTCAAGTTGAATGTTTTGTGTAGCTATTGCATTTTGTAAATAAATGTTTGTTCTACAATTTGGATTGAAACAAAGTTGTTTTCATCAAAGCTCAATTGACATAAAAATATATCAAAATTTTTTGAGTCTGTTCGTATTGTACCATTTGTGAATGACAGAAAAGTAATAAAAAAACTTCAAACTGGTATTCTGAAAGAGACCGAGAGTCTGATTCCGGCACACTACTTATGAGCGTTAGTGCTGGTACCAGTTTTGGAACAAAAAGCAGAAAGATTTGTACCAAGGCTTTTTACGCAGGGGTTATAAAAAATACGAAATTTTTGTTTTATTTCAACCTGCTTATCTGTTTTTCGGTTTTACTTTCACCATGACTTGGTGATGCTGTACGTTAAATAATGAAATGTTATCTAATTAATTTAAGTTTTCCTGATTAAATAAAATTGTGCTTTTTGTATTTTTTTGTTCAAAATTATTGATTGAATCACGCATAAATGTGAATGTTTACTTGTTTTTTTAAGTTACTGCTCGTCCAATACGAAAATTTCCGCCGAATCAATGGACCAAAGCGAGCAATTTAATACACGGACGTTATTGGCATACAGCAACTCTGTTACCGTCCGGAAAAATACTCATTGCTGGAGGTTATGATTATAATGCTGGTGCTGCTCTAAGTAGTTGTGAACTGTTTGATCTATCTACAAATAGTTCGAGCACGACTGGCAGTTTATCGATAGGACGTTATTTACATACAGCAACTCTTTTAAAATCTGGAGAAGTTCTTGTTTGTGGAGGTAATTATCTTAATACTGGTACTGGTGGTAACTTACTATCAAGTTGTGAACGCTATAATCCATCAAAAAAGAGTTGGAAAACTACTGGTAGTCTATCAATAGGGCGAGATTCCCATACGGCAACTCTTTTACAGTCAGGAAAAGTCCTTATTTGCGGAGGTACTGAGGGTAATGGTGGTGCTGGTATCACACTATCTAGTTGTGAATTATACGATCCTTCCCATCCAGTTCTTTGGAGCTATGCTGGTATGCTATCAGTAGCACGTTTTGGTCATACAGCAACTCTGTTAACATCAGGAAACGTACTTATTTGTGGAGGTTTTTTTACTGTTGCTAATGGTCTATCCAGTTGCGATCTATATAACGAACCTACAAATAGTTGGAGCAAAACAGGTAGCCTGTCACGAGGACGTTATGATCATACAGCGACTCTTTTACAATCAGGTCAAGTACTTGTTTCTGGAGGTGCTTATGATATATCCATTTGTGAACTATATGATCCATCCGCAAAGACTTGGAGCACGACTGGTAGTCTATCAAGAGGACGTTCTGAGCATTTAGCAAATCTCTTGCCATCAGGAAAAGTATTAGTTACTGGAGGTGTTTATAATGGAGGTGCTTCTGTTCTATCTAGTTGCGAATTATATAATCCATCCACAAAGAGTTGGAGCACGACTGGTAGCATGTCAGCAGGACGCAGATATCATACTGCGACCCTCCTTAATTCTGGTCAAGTATTAGTTGATGGAGGTTATTTTAATGGTGTTGAGTTGGCGAGCTCTGAACTTTATACTCCATAGAGTCGCGTATGTACCTCATATAAGAATCGCATCATAAGAAGTAATACAAATACATTTCAAATTCAGCAAGGAATACCTATTTTAGTTTTTTATTCTTTTTTTATTAATTTTTAATTTGATTTACTTTTGTGATATTTTTATTTTATTTTATTGGTGATCGGTTTTATTCTACTTTCTTTGTCATGCTTTCGTTCCGGATAGAAAAAGCGGACATGGATGAGTCATCGTGTTATCGAGTCTGAGTCGCATCCGGACGCCTCGAAATCAGTTCCGAGCCCGCGTCGCATCAAAAAATGACTCAGGTCACCGGGACACGGGGATCTTTATCTGTGGATATTTCATAAAAATATTTTGACAAATAATCATTTTAGGAAGATCCTTCTCATGTATTTTAACCATCACTTTTCCACTTTATGGTGAAAAAATGACTTTCATAGGAAGAATAAAAAATATTATTTGAATATATTTAAATGGTTTTAATGAAAGTCCTTTTTCCCAAAAGAATGTTATAGATTATTCATATATTATGCAGACGAGAAGTAGTCGCATTGCGACTACTTTTTGTGTCTATTACAAGACACCAATCTGCTGTGGCAGAAGCGTTTGGTGCCTCGAAGTCGCCATCTTCTCAAAGCCTCTCCACTAATTCCACTGCTACTGCACAATCACACTCTTACTTCTACTTCTGTTTGGCTGATTTCCTCTCGACAATGCCAGTTGACAAAGCCACATCACTAACGTTCTCTACACCAACTACTAAAACAAAATTAAAGTTAACAAATTATCAACTTGCACTAAATACATCTAGATAACTAGAACGAGTGAACCTTAGCTGGAAAGCTTCTGTGTGTTCCGGTTACATCGACGCCTATTGAGATATATTTTCTCAATCAAAATTTTTGATTAGACGCGAAAGCGCAAGTTTTAAGAAAAATAATCTATCTCAACTGACATTGTTAAAATGTAAGGCGATCTAAATTTTATTTGGTTTAGGTTCATACAATTTAACTGTTCTTACTAAAACATCTGTTAGATCAGATGCTATTTTCACCGTTAGATGATCGGCAATTTTTCATTCCTTCCACACACAGGCTAAACTAATAAGGCCTCTATCGAATTATGAAATATTAATCAGACATCATCGACAATATTGATATTGCTCCAAAATATTGGCTCTAAATAGTTTTCTCCGTTATTTGTTGAACCCAAAGTACACAATTCGGTGTTTTTGACGATTTGTGCAACGCGTTGGACCGGGGTCATCTTTACACAAGTTTCTAACTTTTGTTGATTCTTAACAAAGTCAGTCAGTAGTTTTATGTAAAAACGTTTGTGCGATTTGTCCTTTACCATACTATGGACGGTTCGTACACATACGAAGCTTATTTTTCCGCATGTTCATGACTATAGATAGTATTCGACAGAGACTGATGGAAATATATGCTCTTAATGTACTTTCTAGTAGTGGGTCCATCACTTGTTACTACGCATCACTTTATCAAGTAAAGTAGGGGTGCTATCTAATGTAAACTTTAAGCAAAAAACTTCAACATCAACTAAGCCAGTTATAAAGTACCGGGCTGTCTCTTGGATGGCTTTGGATAGCTCTTAACACTGTGTATTACACGTCCAACCAACTCTGTTTCATTCATCGATGACTGCTATAGTTTCCTGAATAATACTACGTATATATCCAGCGGCGTGGCCAGCTAACGGTCCACCTTCGTATGAGCAGGTTCGAGTTTTTCTTTTAACTCGAGCAAAGCTTCAAAAAGCGCCATCAAACAAAATTTTTAAAGGTAATTACAAATCTGGACTCAGAAACAAATCAAATCTTTGTGTTGAAAATCTGAATTGACGTTTGGTTGCCAAATTTCTCTTTATTTTCAAAAAAAACATTTATTTTGTAGCCAGTTTTAAGCCCGTTTAATCTAACTTTGAAAATTTAATTTTGGCTCCATGGGATGAAGGGCGTCTCAGACTATACATCTATGTGCAAACCAAAGCTTGCTAAGTAGCTCTCTGACAGAAAACTATATTCCAAACCATCTGCAAAGTAGAGCAAAAAACCGTGAAATTCCGTAATGTTCCCTCTTATTCGATCTGCTTTATCAGGGAACTAATTCAGGAAAAGTCACTAGTGATTCTGATAGCCCAAACTGCGAACTTTAATGTTGTTAAATCAGCAATCATTTTAAAACTAAATTAAAGGCTAAATAATTTACATTTTATTGGAATACCCCAAAAAACACTTCCATTTTTTGAAATTCCGTAACGGCTTCTTTTTGACTATAACTTTCGATCCACC